AAAAAAAAAAAAAAAAAAATATATATATATATATATATATACATATATATATATAGCTAATAAATTAATTGATCCTGAAATCGAAATTAATTAAATTACTACTTTAAAATATTTTTTCAGAATTGATCATTTCAGAAATTCTCTTATGATACTACATAGGCCATCTGTGAAAAGAAGCCAGCACTGAACTTGGATGATTTTTATATCCACGGTATTATGATTTCTAGTTCACCTGTCTTTCATTTCATGCAAGATGTAGTTTTCTAGTAAAAATCAGAAGTTACATTTCATGTATATTCAAACTTTTAAAATGTTAAAGAAAATAACTTTTCCCCTTTTTCATAAATGGGATTTCACTTACTGTTGGAAATAGCCATCTTTGCTCGGCTGGGGAGCTTACCAGTTAAGTCTATAACCTCCTTCCTCTTGCAGGATTTCATGTCTGTGCTGCTGGATGGATGGCCAAGGGCAGAGTTGGATACCCCATTGTGAAGCCAGGGCCCAACTGTGGATTTGGAAAAACTGGCATTATTGATTATGGAATCCGTCTCAATAGGAGCGAAAGATGGGATGCCTATTGCTACAACCCACACGGTCTGTAAAAAAAAAAAAATAATCATCATCATATGTTTTGCAAAAGCAGTTTCATGCTACTAAGAGGTTAAAAACAGAAACCGCTTCTTCTTCAATAAATAATGCAATTTGGCAGTGATAAATATTAATAGCGCCAGGCTCGGTGGCTCAGCCTGTAATCCCGTGCCTTTGGGAGGCTGAGGTGAGTGGATTGCCTGAGCCCGAGGGTTCGAGACCCGCCTGGGCAGCGAGACCTCATCTCTACAATAAATCAAAAAATCAGGGGGGCGTGGTAGCGCGCACCTGTAATTCCGGCTACTCGGAAGGCGGAGGCGGAAGGATCGCCGGAGCCCAGCAGGCCGAGGCTGCGGTGGCCGGGAGCGGCTACTGTGCTCCAGTCTGGGCGTCAGAGTGACACTCCAACTCAAAATAATCATAATCATAATCATAATCATAATATTAAAAGCTACCATTCATAGAGTACTCATACTGTTGTATTGAGTTATGTTCCTTCATCTGCATTCTTACTTAATATCCATAGCTCTACAAGAAGCTATTTTTATTTTCTTTTCTTTATTTATTTTTTTGAGTTGGAGTCTCACTCTGTGGCCCAGACTGGAGTGCAGTGGCTGCTCCCGGCCACCGCAACCTCGACCCGCTGGACTCTGGCGATCCTTCCGCCTCAGCCTTCCGAGTAGCCGGAATTACAGGCGCGCG